TTTATATTTTTATTTGGACATTGCTTCCAGCTCTGAAAAAGCCAGCGCCTTAAATCTGCATTCTTTCTGCTGGCCAGCAGGGGGGGACTGTGGTTACACAGTCATAGTTGTAGTGATACTAACATACATTTAATTCTATTAGCCAATCAGCAATACAGCAGCTACTATGACAAATATACTAATGAACAATACAGACGTCTGTGGATGATAACAGCAGGTCTGAGTATTGTTTTTAAAACAAATCTTAAAAACTGAAGTTTATCGTTCATTGTTTACACCCTTCTCTCAGAGGTTTGTAGAAATCCCAGGGAAGCAGATGCAGCTTCAGGTCATTTGAAACTTTCTTAAATTAGGCTGGTTTTGCCATTTTTTTTCTTGGCAGATCCTTTCAAGTTCTTTATATTAGATTGGAAGAATCTGTTAGCTGCCATTAGAGCTCTGCAGAAATGCTTTAATGTGTTTTTATTTTTCTATGATGCAGCAGAGGAGCTGCTGAGCATTCTTGGGAATTAGACCCTCCTCTGCCTTTTTCACCTGAGGGGATACTCTGGCTTCCTGCGAACTTAAAGCTGGGTGCTCGATCCGCTCTGTATCTGTCGATGAATAATGGAACGGGTTCCTGATCTTGTCCTCTGATGTTCTGAGGGGTTGGGTACCAGGCTGTAGTAGCAGCACCATGCTGTTAGTTTGCAGACCTCCACCCTGTAGCCAGACTCAGTCCAACCACTGTAGTGTCGTCTGGAGGCTTAATAATGGTGTTTTGCTGTGGCTGGCTGGAACACGAATGTTGAGTACCTGGAGTTCTGCCCGAAGCGTTCAATTTTTTTCTCATCAGACCAGACCTTTTGTTTCATCAGACTTTTTTTTTTCTTGTGCTTTCAGAGTCCTTTAAATGCAGTCTGGCAAACTTTAAGCGAGCTGTCGTGTGTCTTTTACTCAGGAGTGGCTTCCATCTAGCCACTCTACTCTAAGTGTCTGATTGAAGGACTGCTACTGAGTCAGTTACTTTTGGCTGAACGGCCAACTCTCGGAAAAGTCTTGGTGGTTCCAAATTCCCTTTTCTCTGAAACACTCCAGCACTCCTCAGATCTGCTTCTTTCCCCTTTTTTAAAAAATCACAGATGAGTTTCCATGAATTTATGGCTTGGCGCTTGTTTTGACATCCACTGTGAATTGTGGGGTGTTAGATACACAGATGTGGGCCTTTGAAAACTAAGTGCAATCTATTCAATTTGCCCCAGAAGGACTCTGGTTTTATCCTTGTCAAATGAAATGAGTTACTATTATACAGATGCAGCCATAAAAATCCACCTGGACATGAAGTCCTTTACTCAAATCAGAGTTTGGGGTTTTCATTGTGTATTAAATTTGCTATGCAGTGTCTTATATGAACTAATTAATACTTCCATTACCATGCTGCTGCATGGTAAACGTACAAATTGTATTACTTTTTATTAGAATACCTATTTTTAATACTCTGAATATTTTCAGTATGTTTTAGGCTTAGAAGTGATACCATGCACATGCTAAAAATAAGGTACCCCTGAGCAAGGTATCGTCCCTACACACT